ATAGTAGGTTGTGGAAGTTGGAAATTAGACGGCATGCACTGAGCTGTTGAGGATAGAAGTAAGAGGATGTCAGCTGGGCTGCAGAGATGTTGGGGGAGAGTTTTCCTTCCATAGTAAATGAAAGTACTCCTGCTATTTCAAAGCTGGAACTGGTGCATGGTGAAAGCAAATTGAAATTGATCAAGACATTGTTAGAGGTGTAGTGAGGTAGAAAGAAGTGGCACAGTGAATTAGATTTAATGGTGAAATTTTCTTATATGGTTTGGTAAACATACACTTGATAGGAGATGGTACCTTCCTGGGCAAACACTAGATGGTGGTGTTCTCTAAGTAGAAAATAACCTACACTAGATTTTGATGCTGATCTTTTATTACAGTTTAGCACATAATTGTAAAACAGTTGGGCTTCAATTGATCAAAAAGTATTTACTGAACACCCATTAAGTGTCAGAGTTGAGCCTGAAATAGAAAGGAAAATATTTCTAAAAAGACACAGCAAAGCCCAAAACTGATATAGCAGTTTTTCTATTTAAATCAGCCTGGATTTTTCCTTTTTTTAGAGAACCTTTAGAGAATTGATATAGCATGAGAATTTGTTTTTATCACAAAGTGTGATTAAAAATACTTTGTATTAATGGAAAAATATTTATGATCAGTTTTTGATGATATTTCATGAATATGATATATTCAAGTACTTATGAACTATATTTATGCCATGTGACTTCATGATGGCATTTTAAAAAACATGATTGTTTTCTACAAAATGCTTTCTCCTATCCTTCTGAAATATACATCCTCCATGAAACTTTCTGTGTTAAATCTCACTAATTTCAATTATTCCAGACTTATGGTATTAACTGTGAGTAACTCTAGGGAGTCATTATAGCAGTGCTTCTTAAACTTTAATGTGCATAATATGCACCTTGGAATCTGGTTAAAAAGCATATTCTGAATCAGTGGGATCTGGGGTGAAGCCTGATAGAATGCATTTTAAGAACCCAGATGATTCTGATGCTACTGATCCACAGACCATACTCTGAGTAGATTTTTACTCATAAAGATGGTAATTGAATGAGTTTTGTTATGTTTGGAAACATATTTTAATTTTCTGTGGGAAAAGTAGTTTTTCTTTTGTGACTTTCCTTCCATTTTCAACCTCCTTTAACCCTATCTTCACCATGTTCCTATAAACTTTATATTGCACACACTAGTCACAAAATAGGTGTAAATCATGATTGGGAGAGAACAAACTGTTTCCCCATCAGACATGGAGAGTTGGATAATTTTTATTTGTTCCTTTAGAGACATTCTTGTATTTACACTGCTCTCTCCCCTGGGATGCTGACCTACATGAACCTCATCAAGGGGTTTCTTTTCCAGGTTGGTTTTGCTCATGGTAGCCCTAGTATAAGGTAAGAGAGAGATACCATGTAGAGGATATCCATAAAGTTTGTGTGCAATTTTAAACTGCACACAATTTTTATGGACACTCTGTATTTATTCCCTGAGAGATACCATGTAGCGGATATCCATAAAGTTCATGTGCAATTTTAAATTGCACACAATTTTTATGGACACTCTGTATTTATTCCCTGTCCTCAGCTCCTTTACTATAAGATCTCTTTGGGCTGGCTAAGAACATTGACTGAAGTTCATTGCTTTTCTCAAGATATGCACCTTTAGACAACTCTCTCCTTTTGGGTTTTGGAAACTACACAAAAATCATCAAGAAATGTGGCTCAGCACCTGTTCCTCAAGCGGCTAAGGCACCAGGCACATACACCAGAGCTGGCAGGTTCAAATCCAGCCTGGGCCTGCCAAACAACAATGACAACTGCAACCAAAAATAGCTGGGTATTGTGGCCTGTAGTCCCAGCTACTTGGGAGGCTGAGGCAAGAGAATCACTTAAGCCCAGGAGTTGGAGGTTGCTGTGAGCTGTGATGCCACGGCACCAGGGCAGCAGCTTGAGGCTCTGTCTTAAAAAAAAGAAAATGTAAAACCCATGTGGACAGAAACCAGTGAAGCCCTCTCAGCAACACCAATAACCTAAGCAAGTTGAAACTTGCATGGGTGAATCAGAAAGGACGCTGTCGACTGTGTTTCTTAGAAGTAAAATAATGGACCATGACACAGGCTGTCTCAAAACTTTCATAGTGACCCATGTACTTATGGTTCCTTGGCATCTTGCCCACACCCTTTAAGAGTTATTTTTAGCCAAGTGTGGTGGCTCACACCTGTAATCCTAGTACTGTCGGAGGCTAAGGAGGGTAGATTACCTGAGCTCAGGAGTTCCAGACCAGCAAGAATGAGACCCCATGTCTAAAAATAGCCGGGCATTGTGACAGGTGCCTATAGTCCCAGCTACTTGGGAGGTTGAGGCAAGAGAATATCTTGAGCCCAAGAGTTTGAAGTTGCTGTGAGCTATGATGTCATAGCACTCTACCAACGGTGGCAAAGCTAGACTCTGTCTCAAAAAAAAAAAAAAGTGTTATTTTAAAAATAAATCCTTTCCAAGTTAGCCTAATTTGAGTGAGCCAACCTATTGAGACAGTGAAGCATGTGGTTGATTTTGGACAGATAAATAGGTAAAATTAGCTAGACCTGTGGGAAGACATAAAATAACAGAACAATGTGACATACCACTTTTATGGCAAGGACACTTAAAATCTATCCTTTTTACATCAGACATAATATATTGTTATTAACTATATTCAATGTAATGTACAAGAAAGCTCTTAAATTTATTTTTCTTGTAATGCACATGTTCATTAGATTGATTCAGTCATTTCACAGCATATGCATATTTCAAAACAACATACTATACACAATAAATATATGCAGTTTCTAATTTGTCAAACTAATTAGGCTAAGAAATACAGAAAAATATTAAAAGATAACACAACTTGAGCCAAATAGAAAAGGCTCAATTTTGACAAATATTTAATTGCTTTATAATTCAAAGGACATGTCAGTCAGTATTACATGACATTATCAGCTTTGTTAGGACAATGACTGAAATTTGGCTCCGGTTTTTCATTACTTCTGTAGCATTTGAAATGTTTAAATTCTTGTTTCTCTGATTGGTGTGCGTCAGAGTCCAATTTAGATGTAGCCAAGGAGGTACTTCTGGCTTGTCAGATAATATTTCCCAGACTGCTGGTCTATATTCTTTTTTTTTTTTTATTGAATGATAACTATGTACATTAATGCACTTCTGCGGTACAGTGTGGGGTTTTCACACTATATTCTTACTGCAGTTGATTACAACAGACAACAGAAACAGTAAATTTAACTTACTAGTTGGTTTATTGTATTATTGAAGTCCTTTATTTTCTTGCTTATGTATCCATTATTGAAAATGAGATATTGAACTCTCAACAATTATTGTAGAAATGTATTTCTCTGTTCAATTATTTAATTTTTTTGCTTAATAAAAAAGAAAAAGAAATGAAAAAATTTAACTTTGAAAAACAACAGTAGTAATTGTCTTTCTTTGATGTACTCTTTTATCTAAACAGATTAGCTTTGTTATTCTTTGAGTCCATTTAGTATTTGCATACGTATGGGGTCTAAAGGTATTCAGTCCTAGTTTTTACTAGAACAAAAGAGCTTTATTGTGGTCTGATTATAGGAGATCTCACTTTGCAGTGAAATATACCCATAACCCTACTTAATTTTCACCTATTAAAATATCAATAAATGATTCATCTTGAATTTGACTTGGAATATTCTAGACCAATAACATTTTTAGTCCTCTTCAGTGCAGCAGGGATTTCTCCCTTGGCTGTCTTGACTCCCTTCTCCATTATTGTCTAACACTTGAGGCTGCAAACTCATTCTTCTCCTAAATAAATGGTCACAGTGTTTACTAGAATTTTTTTACTAAGGCAGAGACCTCATCATTGGGATTTTTTTTTTTTAATGGGGAAATTTCATGGTCTGTTTTCAAGGTTATTACTCGGAGCAGCAGATATGTAACAAGGTTTTATTTTTCTTTTATAGTTATTGTCAGAATAGATGCCAATATAGCAGTTTCAATTGCTCAAATGATTGTGGCTAGCAGGGACTTCTTCATTTTAACAATTAGGAAATCTGGTTGGAATGTTTAGAAAAACAAGCATCACTGGCTCACTAATTGATTTCTTCTGTACTTTAATCATTCATCCATTCATCATTTGGTAATTGAAAACAAGTGCTAAGTGTATGGAGAGGAACAATAATCTGTTTCCTTACAAAGCTCATGTAGATGCAAATAAATTGTAACTTATTTTGGCAATGGTAAAACTATTCAGTAGATGGTAGAGGAAGGAAGGCCTAACTTAACTATGAGGAGAGGGACTAGTTGAGAGAGCTTCATAGAGGAGTTCACATCTGAGTGGGGTTTTGAGCTTGAATAGAAGATGAGAGATGGCAGGTAGTTAGAAGCCAAAATTATAAAAGGTCTTATACCTCCTGCTAGGAATTTTTTTTTTTTATCCTGTAAGCCATGTCAGGTCTCTAGAGAATTTCACCTAGGGAAGAGAGATTATCAAGTTTGTATTTTAGAAGGACCTTTGTGGTGAGGATATAGGGGATACCTTGGGAGGGTGGAGTAGAGTCATGTTTATATGAATCTGGAGGTACAGAAAGCAACTGTGAGCTATGGGAAGAGCCACGTAAGAGCTAAAAACTGCCTTAACTAAGTGAGAATGAAAATAAAGAGGCTCGGCACCTGTGGCTCAAGTGGCTAAGGCACCAGCCACATACACCTAAGGTGGCGGGTTTGAATCCAGCTCGGGCCCACCAAACAACAATGACGGCTGCAACCAAAAAATAGCCAGGTGTTGTGACGGGCGCCTGTGGTCCCAGCTACTTGGGAGGCTGAGGCAGGAGACTCCCTTGAGCCTAGGAGTTGGAGGTTGCTGTGAGCTGTGATGCCATGACACTCTACCCAGGGGGATAGCTTGAGGCTCTGTCTCAAAAAAAAAAAAAAAAAAATGAAAGAAAATAAAGAAGCAGAGTGCTCACTTCGGCAGCACATACACTAAAAATTGGAACAATACAGAGAAGATTAGCATGCTCCTGTGCAAAGATGACATACAAATCATGACGCATTCCATATTTTTGAACTAATACATGCCCACGCAAGAGAAAAACTTAATTTAATTCAAGTTGGGGGGAGGGCGGAGGAGGGAAGAGAGAAAGAGGAGGAGGGAGGAGGATTGGTGTACTCTCACCTAATGGGCACAAAGTAAGGGAATATGGCACACCTCGTGGGTGCAGGACACAACTACAACAGGGACTTTACCTAAAAAATGCAAAGATTGTAACCTAATTGTTTCTACACTCATATTAATCTGAGATTAAGAAAAGAAAAGAAGCAGATTCAGGAGATAATTATGAGGCAGATTTGGTGATCTGGAAAATAAATTATTGTTAAATTATGGAATATACAAAAGAGAATATATTGGGAAAATAGATGAGGGGGAGAGAATGATTTTACATTGGGATGTTTTGAGGTTGTCTCCCCCCTAACAGAAAGCTAGACCACTAAACCCTAGAGCTTATGAAATAAGTCTGGAGTAGAGACTCACGTTGGAAACCAGGGGGTACTTAAACCAGAGGAGTAAATGGGATGATTGAGGGTTAAGTGTAAGGCAGAGATTTCTAATCTGTTTTTCTGTCTTCATACTTTTCTTATGTCTCTAATTAAATATGATTTCCACTAGGGTAGAGGGTTTAGGGGCATGCCCTGAACTCAGTTTAGAATCACTGCAAGCTAGACTGGGAAGTTCTTATAAATGTAGTAAAAGAATAAGGAGAAGATGAAGTGCTAGAATCCAAGGAATGAGAAGGTTTTAAGATAGCAAAACCCACTTGCTCAATGAGAGATAGGTTGGTTTACTATAAAACTGGAAGAAAGCAGAGGGGGAAAAACTTCTTGACATTGGTCTTAGCAATGATTTTTTGGACATGACATCAAGAGCACAAGCAACAGCTCGGCGCCTATAGCTCAACCGGCTAAGGCGCCAGCCACGTACACCTAAGGTGGCGGGTTCGAATCCCCAGCCCGGATCCGCCAAACAACAATGA